AATACCGTCGAGCAATAAAAAAGTCGGGTGGTGACAAAAGAGCTATGAACCACATACCGCTATTCATCGAATCACGAAGGAATAAATACTTAGGTACAGAAACGTGTGTTCAAGGTTAACTCGATACAATGCTAGTAATAACTCCTAGCATATTCCGGGTGTCTTGCATCATGGAGTGCATTTTACGGTGTGTCACTGAGAAAATATTAAACCAGTGCTGATAGTGTGACATTGCACTAAGTACCCTCGCATCGCCTTAGCGTGAATGGTCTGTGCGAATGCACATGAAATCGTAATGCGGTCAATCATGTCAGTGGTAAATGGAATACTGACATTGTTATCTTGGCTCCGTGAATCATAAAAAAGATCGTAACGAGACTCGATGTTGTCAACTTGACGTTTTCAAATTAAACATTTTGAAGAAAAAAACAAACTTGAGCGTCGACGATAGCATTATGTTGATATATATCCAAAACTTGTAAAGACTAATGTACTTTTATTAGCCCCGCTGTCGACTTTGTCGACTTTATCATATGAGTGATTGTCCTTTGTCGTCCGTCGTCATGGTCTGTGCCAATGTTTTATTTTTTCGACTTCTTCTTGGAAACTACAAGCCTGAATGCTTTGATACTTGGTGTATACCTTGGGTAGATATCATATATCAGCAATTCTCTAATTTTTGGGAATATTTTTGTCATTTTTGGTAAATAGTGATATTTTTGACTTCTTGTTAAAAAACGCAAATCCAATTGCTTTGATATTACATATATAAGTACTACATGTGGACCTCTCTCAGATTTGTTCGTTTTGTAATGATATCTTTAATTCTCTAATTTTGGTGAATATTTTTGTCATTTTTGGTAAAAAGTGATATTTTCGACTACTTGTTAAAAACTGCAAGTCCAATTGCTTTGAGATAATACATATACAGGTACTAAATGTGGACCTCTTTCAGATTTGTTCATTTTGTAATGTTATCTTCAATTCTCTAATTTTAGTTAATATTTTTTTAATTTTTGGTAAAAAAGTGATATTTTCGACTTCTTGATTGAAAACAGCAAGTCAGATTGCTTTTATATTACATATATAGGTACTACATGTGGACCTATTTCAGATTTGTTAATTTCGTGGTGATATCTTCAATTATCTAATTTTTATGATTATTTTTGGTCAAAAGTGATATTTTTGAATTCTTGTTAAAAACAGCATGTCCTGTTGCTTTGATACTATACATATTGTTCATTTTCTAATGATATCTTCTGTTCTTTAATTGCAATGTGCATTGCTAACAGTGGAGCTATCTCAGCCGCCAGGCTGCTTGTTAAATAATGCCAGAGAGGGGGAAATTTCATTTCTTTTTCGAAAAACAGCTCCATCCAGCCAGCTTTCATCGCATGTGATGTCAAGACAGACGACTCACTGAACTCTTTAAGTACAAGAATCGTGATTGGTAATTTTTTGACATGATTGGTTGCGACCCGGAAGTAGTTCACTCTCGCTCAATTCCTGGTAAGTAGCGTGAATTTATCGTTTCCTCTGCCATTTTAATAGTGTGTTGTGTACATTGATGTAATCTGTGTGCCATAGTACTATTGGGGTTAATTTGCATATGTAAATTGGCAATAGCATATTGTTTTTGCTAAATTTGAAGTATTTCTTAAATTACTTAACAGGTTTGGATCAAATTTGGTAGGCATATACATTGATGTAATCTTCATGTCATATTATTGGGAATAATTTGCACATGTAAATTAGCTAATTTACATATTATTTATTCCCTAAATTGGGGTTACCTCATTAACATCTCAACAGATTTGATGTAATCTGCATGTCATGTTGCTAGTGTGGATGATTTGCATATGCAACTTAATAGCTAAATTACATATTGTTTTCATAGTGGACGAATGCGTGGTCTATGCCAGTATTTTATTTGTGCAATCATTATTTTTATTCAAATTGGATATCTACCCTGGTCTTCCCTGACACAAATGGATTTGATAGTCACATGGGGCAAGTGTTCCCTTTAAGCCTCATTTGCACACAACTTGCTCAGTGAGATGACCAAGTTGCTCAGTGAAATTCATCCATTTGAGCAACTTTTCCATAAATTTCATGTTGTAGTAAAAATGTACACTTAAAGAAGGTTTTCAAGTATAAATTGCTGAAGTTGCTCAGTGCCGAATTTGTTTAGAGGGAACATGATGATGGGGCAGTGTTTTTAACCAAACAGTTTACTTTTTGCCTCTGGAGTCAATGAAATTGAGCAACCACAGTTAGTCATATTAATATTGCTGTTTTGTACTCATTATTAAAGTTTGATAAAATATGTTTGTGTCCAAAATTAATACTTTCACATTATTCAAACCAACATGTCAAAATTTATTAAATTTTATATGCATGCACTTTGCTCATTTCATGTCAAAATCTTGATTTTATTTTGATGGAAGCTTATAGTATCTTCAGATCAGGCTCTGAAAATTCACTTGCCCTGATAAAATCTCTGTTCTATTACAGTGAAGCAGTCTTGTTACAGTATTCCACTGACAATATACCAGCAGAGCTCATTTTACTGTAAAATATTAATTGCTTCTGTAAAATGTTTTTCAAATTCACAATTTGCCAAGTCCTGTAGTTATGTATACAGTAAAAACACTGCCTGACTATGCTTCTAATGATTACTATCTGTGCCATTTTATTCATTAATCATAAGTTCTTCATGTATTATATACCTTCACAGTATCAAGATGGCAAGAAAGAAGAAGTGTTGTATTGCCAGAGCAGCTGCTCTGGCCAAAGTAACTATTTGGTGTTTATTGATCAACTAATTACAGCCAAAACAAAGTCAGCTTGGACATTCAGTTGTGAGAAATGACAAAATAAACGGTGCCACACAATAACCATTTGTCATGCCATATCTGTAGATTTTGCTTGATGGAATTATTATCCATTATGAGATAAATTTTGCAAATGTGAGAAATCATTTTAATTTTTTGAACATATTTCTAGGCCTCTAAATTTATGAGCTACAAAATCATTGTAGGTATGAGTGATATGCTGCTTTCATTAAACCTGTTTGTGTTTCTTCTTTTTTTCATGGAACATGCAGATTGACCAAACAAGTTGAGAAGACTGCCCTCATAAAAAACAGTCACCCAATTAATGAGGAGACTCCTCACAAAAATTGAGGGTATAACCCTTACTAATGAATCTCATAATTTATTTGCAATATATCTGATAATAAACTTGACACTAAACCTGATAATGTACTCAATAATGAATTGAATGGAATTAAATATAAAGCAAGTGAAGTTGATAACACTTGTGCTAAGACTAGCAGTGTACTTATACTGGGTAACATGATGATTCTTTAAATTCATCTGAAGATTACTTGCTGAATTTTGAACATATTAATACATTTTGTAGTCAGAATCTTGAACAGTACCATTTGAAATCATGTGTGTCTGCTTCTTATCAACAAGGTGATGATATCTTTCCAGACAGTGCTATAAATAGGTTTAGTCAACTGTTATTTAAAAAAAAAAACAGACTTTTGTTAAAATACCTGTAGCCATCCTGCCTTGTACTCCGTTAAAAAAAGTTGAGTTGAATAAATGTATTGTAATTTGGACAAAAGAAAAGTTAATAAATATTTTAATGTTTAAATCATTTGTCATTTTTGGCTCCAGTTGTGCTCTGCCCAAAGGGGAGCTAATATCAGTAATGTGCACAAAATGATGCTCGATCTGTCTGTGTGGGAAACTTGTTCAAATGATATCTCTAGAAGCGATCATCATATTCAGATGACACAAGTTTGATAATATGGAACATGCAAATTCTGATAAGGTTTTTTAAATATGCATAAAAAAATATTCTTGATTTTCTACTATCTCGAGAACCTGAGTGGCACATTGGCTAACGTGTTCACCTCCAAGTTCTACTTAAAGACCGACATGGTATATATATAAACAGGCGGAGTTTATTATTCAAATGAAGTCTCCCTCACCCACATCAACAACAATGATTAAAAGCTCCACAAAAACTTGAGAAACAGTGATTCATTGCATTATATTTTCTACTTTTTAAACGTGTGTGGCGCCATGAATGTTCGGGGAAGCCATAAATAAAAATAGTAGTGAGTTTGACAGCTAGACCATTTATTTTTGCCGAAAAATGTGTTTTAAAAGCGTTTCGAATTTGCCGGCATTATAAGCTCCACCCACATCATTTTCAAAATGCCTACTTTGCATGTGAGGTGAAATAAACGAAACTAGTACGTTGTTTATGTTAGAGAATACAATGGAATGAATTACAGTAAAGAAAACACAGATGAGCTTCTTTGCAACGTGGGCGTGAGGTTGTCAAAACCAGACATAATATAAAGTGTCTGTCTAAAAACGCATACGGTTGAAATCAACTTGTCAACGATAAATTGCATTCATAAGCCGTTCCTAACAATTTTGCCTGTAGTTATGATATATATGCACTTGATCACAGTCCCTCTGACTCGATGTACCTTTTTATTTATTAAACAACTTTCACCCACTGCGCTCATCAGGAAAAGACCACACGATGATGTGTGGTCGATCGACAATCTCGTTCAATGTACATGTCATGAAAAACATTCAAAGAATTGTTGACTCTTTCCACATGGTTGGTATCGAGGGCGTGGACGTACTATGCAGCGTTTTTCTAAACAATTCTGAATAAATGAGCGAAAGAGATTCGCTGCCACCATGCTGGTTGATAATGTTTTATTTCCGGCTCGTAGCAAGAATGATTATTTTTATAGTAATCTAACAATCTAATTTAGCACAAAGCACCACAACATGACGTTCACGTACAATTTCGTATCAAAAAAATGAACGATAACCTGTGGCTGCGAAAAACTCTTGAGAAGTTTATACTCGACTTGAATTCAGATTCCAAAAAGCTGCCTCGTCACGAATTTTTTATTTCACTTTACATAGCTCAAATCAGTAACTATACACATAAACAAAAGATTAGGAATATCTACATTTAATGAACGATTGACAGTTGAATACTAAGCTCCGCCCAGCCCATGGGTAGTAAATGTCGGCCTTTAATTCCAAAGGACTTCGGTGCCCCTGGCCCCATGTTTCTAAAAGTGATAAAAAAAGACAAAATGAATTGTATCTCAAATGTATGTTTATTTGTTTTATAGACCTGATAGACTTCACAGTGATTTCAGAGAAGACCGGGACACCAGACAAAAGGTAAGTGTTTCAATGTTTCCAGGGCTCGACACTATAAAGGTAGTTCTGTAGCCGGGGCAAGTTGTGGGCGAGTGAGTTCTAAGTTAACATCAAGTCCTGATTTCTATGTTTTTCTGATCATTCTGCATAATAAATCATCCTTTCAATACCATTTAAAATTTTGTGTGTGTGTGAGTCAATCAAGTCAAAATTTTACTACCCTTACTTTTACGTGTCCCATAGATTGATGTAAGGAGCTTAGAGAGATTGAAATATGACAAGGATTAATCCCACTTGTATTGTCTTAATAGATTGACACACACCATAATGAGTTGGAGGATATTGATCATGAAATTGGACAACGTAAAGCTGATCTCCAAATTTTACAAGAGAACATAGAGAAAAGAAAAGCAGAACTGACACATGTGCTCAGAGAGGGCGAAACTGACGTTGCTAAGAAACAAAGAGATATCAAGGTACCTGTCACATTATGTTTATCAATTCTATGATGATCAGTATATTTTGTGTCAAGCCTTGGTCTTTTCAAAAGACAAAGCGATGTTGATACCATTCCCTACAAACTACTTGTAGATGTTGGTACCATTTCATGCTAACTAGGTGTTGATACTATTCCATGCTAACTAGGTGTTGGTACTATTCTATGCTAACTAGGTGTTGGTACTATTCTATGCTAACTAGGTGTTGATACTATTCCATGCTAACTAGGTGTTGATACCATTCCATGCTAACTAGGTGTTGGTACCATTCCATGCTAACTAGGTGTTGGTACTATTCTATGCTAACTAGGTCTTGGTACTATTCTATGCCAACTAGGTGTTGATACCAATCCCTGCAAACTAGGTGTTGATACCAATCCCTGCAAACTAGGTGTTGGTACTATTCTATGCTAACTAGGTGTTGATACTATTCTATGCTAACTAGGTGTTGATACTATTCCATGCTAACTAGGTGTTGTACTATTCCATGCTAACTAGGTGTTGATACTATTCCATGCTAACTAGATGTTGATACTATTTCATGCTAACTAGGTGTTGGTACTATTCTATGCTAACTGGGTGTTGGTACTATTCTATGCTAACTAGGTGTTGATACTATTCCATGCTAACTAGGTGTTGATACTATTCCATGCTAACTTAGGTGTTGATACTATTCCATGCTAACTAGGTGTTGATACTATTCCATGCTAACTAGGTGTTGATACTATTCCATGCTAACTAGGTGTTGATACTATTCCATGCTAACTAGGTGTTGTACCATTGCATGCTCACTAGGTGTTGATACCATTCGATACTAACTAGGTGTTGGTACTATTCCATGCTAACTAGGTGTTGGTACTATCCTATGCTAACTATTTGTTGGTACTATTCTATGCTAATGAGGTATTTGTATTCATTTGTATTTCACAGAAAGTACAAGATATTCTGGAAGAATTAACTGTACAAAATAAAGATTTGGAAGTGACAGTGAGTGAGAAGAGATCACAACTAGTGAAGCTGAGAGACTGTGTGGATCAGGAAGATGAAACACTGCAGCAGTTGGTGTCTAATGTTAACAAGTATAAAACAGAATTGAAACATGTTTTAGAAATGTTACAGTTAGAGAAGACTGAGTTAGAGGCTCTGAAACAACATCATACAGACAAAATGATTGATTTAGAGAAGACGCAATTGGCTGTAATTGAAGTGAGTCACATAAGTCTGCAGTATAAAACAGAGAAACCAGATTGCCATTATGAGGGAGGGAAACCAGATTGCCATTTAAGGAAGAGAAACCAGATTGCCATTATGAGGGAGGGAAACCAGATTGCCATTTAAGGAAGAGAAACCAGATTGCCATTATGATGAAGGGAAACCAGATTGCCATTATGAGGGAGGGAACCAGATTGCCATTATGAGGGAGGGAAACCAGATTGCCATTTAAGGAAGAGAAATCAGATTGCCATTATGAGAGAGGGAAACCAGATTGCCATTATAAGGGAGGGGAACCAGATTGCAATTATGAGGGAGGGAAACCAGATTGCCATTATGAGGGAAGGAACCAGATTGCCATTATGAGGGAAGGAACCAGATTGCCATTATGAGGGAGGGAAACCAGATTGCCATTATGAGGGAGGGAACCATATTGCCATTACGAGGAAGGAAAACCAGATTGCCATCATGAGAGAGGGGAACCAAATTGCCATTATGAGGGAGGGAACCAGATTGCCATTATGAGGGAGGGAAACCAGATTGCCATTATTGGGGAGGGAAACCAGATTGCCATTTAAGGAAGAGAAACCAGATTGCCATTATGAGGGAGGGAAACCAGATTGCCATTATGAGGGAGGAAAAACAGATTGCCATTTTAAAGGAGGGAAACCAGAATGCCATTATGATGGAGGGAACCAGATTGCCATTATGAGGGGGTGGGGAACCAGATTGCAATTATGA